TTAGCTTGAATATTCCTTAATTGTAATTGTTTTTTTTGTTTATTTTTTCATTTTTAGCTTAGGTAATATTGCGTAATATATTTGTTTATTAATTTATGTTTTTGGAAAATGGAGGATCGACAATACCGAACTTTTCCAAATTGTTTAAAACAAATTTGTGAATTTGTGTACATAATTAAAACATTTTATTAATATTAACATTTTAGCATAAATTTACCACCGCATAAACCTTAAAATGGCTTGAAATAATGTGTCCCTAAATTAGGGACCCTAATTTTGTCCGCGATTTTTGAAATTCCTCCCACTGTGAGCCGCTCTTATAAAAATTAATTTTATTTGTCAATAAATATGGTTCATAATATTTTAAAGTTTAATATATTATTTGTCTTGCTATTTTGAGCTAAACTTTTTGCATCTTTATTTGTTTTATGGGTCATTTAACCATGGAGAGGTATATGCATTTAATTCAAATAATACTTTGTTGTTGGCCGTAAACGACTAAAGAAATTAGTTACTTTTAACTGTCAGAAATAGTCAAATATGGTGACTAATCTTAAATTAGTCAAATTTTAACTATTTACATAGTAAAAAATAACTATTTAAAAGTGAAAACGACTATTTTATTAGTAAAAAATGCTTTTACTAATTCAAATAGTAGAATTTTGACTATTTCATTTTTAGAGAGTAGGAAGGATATAAGAAAAAGATATGTATAATTCAGTACGATGAATCGGTACTGGCTTTTTTAAAACTAATATTTAGGTATATTATGAATATGAGTACGGTACGAAACTTTTCGATGTAAGTAGCCTGGTGCCTTCGTTTTAAGAAGGTTCTGAAAGAAACAAATTGAATGCATTTTGCGCCTGTTTTCCATACTCAACCACTTGTTATTTATTGGGGTGTAACTAATTCTATCACACTTCCTTATGCAAAATAATAATTGAAGGCAGCAATTTTGCAACTTTTGGATTCGGAAAGCATTGTATTTTGTAAGACATGGACCATAGACATTTTCACAATAATTTAGTAACAATAAAATCAAACTATTACATAACATTGACTTGGATTTTAAATTTAACAAATGTCTGACATGGTAAATTTGCTTTAAGTTACAGTACGCCGCTTTTAAACGACTTCCAACATGCTCAGAAAAACTCAGATCCTCATCCATTAATAGTCCCAAATTTTTTACAGAATTTTGAATTTTACGGGGTTCATTGTTTAATATAATATCGTGATCGTGATTAATTTTAAATGCTTTTCGCAGGTTACTTTTACCAAACATGATTCCCTTAAATCATAGTTTATTGCACTTATAGCCTGAGTACTTTCATCTGGATCAAAACTTAAATACAATTGTGTATCGTCAGCATAATAGTGTGAAGAACACGAGGTTAATATTGAATTAAAATTACCAATATATACGGAAAATATTAATGGTCCTAAACTAGAACCTTGAGGGGCACCACATTCAATCTCAAGAAAATTTGATAACTTACCATTATAGGTTTTAAAAAAAGTATGATCATGATAACGATCATGCGGCCTGGTTCTGGCATTAGAAAAAGATCTTTAGAGGTTGACAAAAAATATTTAGGCCATTTTAGTCAAAAATTCAGGCAAACTTTGGAAAATTGTGATATAGCCAAACGTCTAGATTTTTGTCTTGGGATGGGGGATAAGGTGTTCTCAGACGAGTCAACATTAAAACCAATGGTGTTGTTGCTTCCCATCATTGTACATATTGAAATTCAGCAAATCCTCAATACCGAATTCAATACAAAGTTCAATATTTCAAAAAATTAAATGTTTGGTATGCAGTTACGTATCATGAAATCATTTGGCCTTACTTTATTTATGGTATATTAAATCACCTTTATGGAATTGTTGATGAATTTTTATAATAATAAAATTGATGATCTCCCTTTAAATTATCACAACGGTATGTTCTTTCAACACGATGGTTGTCCTGCACACAACGCTCGAATTGTTCGGGAATGGTTGGACAAGGAGTTTAGGGACTAGTGGTTAGGCAGGAATGGTCCTAAGTCATGACCTCCACGAAGTGGACTCTTACTTATGAGATCGTCGAGAACTGTAAAATTTATTTTATTTTAGGTCCAGAATTGAAGCTTGTGCAATATTGGGGTGTGCATTGTTTAACAGAGTTTCAACTTTTCTTTAAATAAAACCAACGTAAAACTTAAATTCTGTAACAAGTTTGGAATACGACACACTCCGCTCGAGTGAAAAGTTTGTCACACGAGCCGAAGGCGAGTTTGACGGTTTCACAAGAGCGGAATATCCAATTCCAAATGTGTTTTAGACTATACTTTTTCTACGTTTCCAAAAAATACCGTAGAAAATAATTTAATTGGGGGAAGCGAGGTTGGATCGGTCTAAAAGTATAATAGTAATATAATAAACACAGAGATGTCTGTCCCAGTGTTTATTTCGTCATCAGGTTATATAATAAATTCATTATCTAACTCTTTAAGGAATATATGTAATTTCACAAAAAGCGATATAAGAACGGTGAAAAATATATTTCTACTTCGTAAGATCATCATAAGTAAAACTTAATGACATCAGTAGAGAATTCTTGAGCGGTGTCCACCTTTCATGATAATAACATTCATTTGTTGAAAAGAAAATGACAAATATACGAAAACTTACCAAAAATTATTTTTATTAAAAAAAATGCAGTCGAAATATTTCAGAAAATATAAATTTCAAATTAATCAAAGGTAATAATAAAAATGATGTGTTGGATATTCTGGAGGTTTGAAATCATGCAAAAACTTTTATCATAAAAATTTAATATTTTTTTTCTTTTTTCTTCATCTGTATTTATTTTTTAATCTTTAAATTAAACTGTGTTTGTGTCATTTTAACTTATTTAATTAATTGTTTTATATTGCAAAAACATTTCAAGAAAGAAACGAAATTTAGTTAAGAAATCTAATCTTCTGATTAATTAATTTTAGAATGAGGGAAGTAAGCACACTCATAATCGTAATTCAGCAAAACACAATTTTTATGCCATTAACTTCAAAAGTTTTAAATGTCAATTAAATATCAAAGTTGACATTTCTTAATTTGGGGGCATTAATTACAAAAAAACAGTAAATTAAATGGTTGAAAATAAAGTTTTATACAATCAATGATGGGAAATTACATTTTCGACATAAACCAAAATTAATTCTAAAAATTTAAAATTAATCAATAGTAATAATTAAAAATTATTTTAATAGTAATTTTTATGTAAAAAATGGCGGATGCACCGGGATTAATTTTTGACTCTTGAAAGATATCGTTTTATACCTTTGGAACATGTTTTAATTTTTACATTCTTTGTATTATTTACACAAAATTTCGAATATTTTTTAAATTACACAATTTTTTTATTATTTTTTTAATTAATCTTCACTGAGAAAAATGTTTTTGATAAAAAAAACATAAACATTACGGTTTATTAATTATTGTCAAATTTACTCAGTAATATTTATTTAAAATTCATTCAAATTTGAAAGTCTCTGCTTTTATCAAAATGTCACATATTTGTACTTATAAGCCTAAAACCCTTTCATTTTTATTTATTAGACGATTTGTAATTTTATAGTTGAACATTTTAATTTCATAATTCAGGGCGCCAATAACATCACACACGGCGTTCTCTATAGAGAACGCCATGCATCACATCATCATATCCAATTGAAATTGATTTTTATGTGGAGTTTAATGTAACTTTGAAGGTTCTACGATAATTAATTATTGCAGTTTTTATTTTTTCCATTTTTTTGAATTACCTGTAGAAGTTATTAAAGTAAAAACGTGTTTCTAGGTGTTGCTTTTTAAGCTTATTTTAAAAATTCAGAATGTATGTATCTTCCATTGTTTTTGCATTTGAAAAAAAACTTTTTTTCAGCATTTTTTTATATTGTAAAGATGGTGTAACACTACTTTCACAAAAAAATTCATCTGAAAAAAAATTATTGAACTTTCATTTGACTAAAAACTGGACTTTTTTTTACGACAGGTTACACATACATGTTAAAAATAACAGGTGACAAATGTCAAAAATAACGTATAAGATAAAAATAGGTCATGGCAGATGTCAAAAATGATCCATGCCAATATTTTCGGATCAGAAGTCAGCTCATTTTGTTTCGTATTTTCGTTGCATATTGCTTATTTTTGACATCTGGTGTGGCTTATTTTTGACATCTATTATAGCTTTTTTTTAAATCTGGTACCTGTCATTTTTGACATGTGGTCATTTATAGAATTTTACCAATCCCCAAATAATATTTTAAATATTTAACATTCAACGATTTAAACGTCTACTGCCACATGAATGACAGGCGACAGATGTCAAAAATAATCTATAACAGATGTCAAAATTTAGCCATGGCCGATTTCAAAAATGACAAATAACAAATGTCAGCTTATTTTGTCAGCCCCGGATCTACGATTTTTTCGAACCGGGGCATAAACTTGATAGTGGCGCCCCCTCTATTCAGTGTTTGAGAAAAACTATTAAAACTGACAAATGAGTAGCATTTTTTGTGACCATTTGTGAAAATAATAATCCTTTAATAAATTTAAACTTTTTATTATCTATTAGCTAATAACTTTCATTTGTGACAAAAAACAGAAACACAGAAAAAATATATAAAACCTATAAGATTGTAGGAAAAGAGGCTTCACTTCGATATTTCGAATTCTTGCCTCAAGGATTTGGCGCCCTGGTTTGCCACCCCTTAGATCCGGGGCTGCATTTTGTTTCGTATTTTCGTTGCATATGGCTCATTTTTGACATCTGTTAAAGCCTATTTTTACATGTCACCTGTCATTTTCAACATAAATAAAATTTTCCAAAGCTGCAAATATTATTTCAAATAATTAACGATATAAAAGCAATAGAAATTAAAGAGTAAGGAATTCGCTGGTATGTATATTTCTTTCAATATGGTATTTTGTATGATAATTTTTAGATAAACTACGCATATATTGGACCAATGAATGCTTATAAACTATATAAGACCACTGTTCCCAATAACATTGACACGTCAAGTTTGGCCTGGTTGCATATCGCCGGGGCACATGTTTCAACAGAATGTATTCTGGCATTAAGAAAAATTTTGCATCCATTATCGACTGTCGTTCAAACCTATGGACAAACCGAAATGAGTGGTTACACTACCCTTTATAATATATTGGACAAAACGCATAGGAAATATTTTACGAAGAGACCTGATGCAGTTGGATTACCAGGAGAAGGCATATCGTATAAGGTAAATTTGAAAATATTTGGTCTGCAAATATTTTTTTTTATTAGTCTTAACTTTATAGATAAGCAAATAAGTTCCTGTTGAGTTTGACAATAATGTACATTTTCTCAAAGAATCCTAATTGACGTGTCTCATATATTTTAACCACAATACAATATATTATATTTGTTTTTTTTATTTCAAAATTCGATTGACATTTTTTGGATGGCACGGTATAATACATTCTTTTAAGTATAAAATGCAAAAAGAAGGCAAACAGCATCATTTTTAAATGGTTATTTTGAATTTTGGGCTTAATGAAAGGTTTTGTTGATATTGTTAAAAAAGCACAAAGGCTTATATATAACAATGGAAAAATAAATCCATTCGGCTTTGATAAAAATTTACAAATAAAACTCATTAAATATAAATTCGAGTATAAATTATAATAAATATTATTATACTTAAATTTAGGTGGGACATAAAGTATATTTTAATCTCCAAAAACTCGGTGTATGTGTCAAAAACCCCTGCTAGAATAAAGATGGCGGCCTTAAAAATTAAATAACTCCTGCACTTTTGCAAATTCGAAAACATGTTTTTTTCGTAAACCTAGCCATTCAAAAAATATCTTAGGTTATGGTAAGTTTGAAAAGTTAAAAAATATATATTTTTCTTGCAAAATGGTTGGGATTTTAAAATGAGTACCTACTGTTTTTTCGATAATGTAAGCGTTTCAATGATAATCGCGTGCGAATGATAATAGGTTTTCTTTAATATAAAGTATATCCCGTATGGTCTAGTGGTGAGAATACCTACCTTTTAATAGGACAAGGGTTTTTTTAAACTTTTACCCTCAATATTTTATTGGTATCAAAAACATAGGATACCTTTTTTTGTAGAGCATTTAACTCCCTATTATAATTTATTTCAGGCTTAGTTTTATATTCCTTTATTAGTAATATACAAGGTGTCCCTAAACTTAGTGGCACACATTTAGGAGCAGATTAAGCAAGTCAAAATAAGAAAAAAATCTAAATAAATATTTTTCCTAATTACGTATGTTTAAAAGATACAGGGATATCAGTTTTTTTAATATAACTTCTACTGTGGTGATATTTTGCGAACAATCAGTTACTACCAAAACACATAATATGTGTTTTGGTAGTATAATAATATTAATAATATTATTCACACATAATTACAATTGTTCGAGTGAACAGTGTCGTAGAAACAGGGGTTGCTTAAGCTTATTGTCCCAACACAACTTTGAGGTTGGGTTTTTATACTATTTGATGCAATTTTTCGATTACTCAGTTTGGCTACTATTAAAAAGGTGTACCTACCTCTCAAACTTCGATTAAATAAACCGTTTCCAAAATATTCGAGATTACTATAATTGTTATATCGCATTAAAGGACTAGAGTATATGATAACAAATTTTTTAATTGAAAAAACTACAATTTTTTTAATGTGACGGTCAGGGCAAAAAGTCCTAAGGCTCATGGAATTCTCTTTTTAGTTTTTTCAATTAAAAAATAAAATGTGTTATCATATACCTTTTAATCCTTTTAAATAATGCGATATAACAATTATTGTAATATCGAATATCTCGAAAACGGTTTATTTTATCGAAGTTTGAGAGGTACACCTTTTTAATGGTAGCCGAATTGTGTAATCTAAAAATTGCATCAAATGTTATAAAAACCTAACCTCAAAGTTTGTATGGGACAATAAGCTTAAAGCAACCCCCGTTTCTACGACACTGTGTTCATTCACACAATTAAAATTATGTGTGAATATGTGTTTTAGTAGTAAGTGACAGTTCGCAAAATATCACCTTTCCAAGACTACCATAGAAGAGGTTATATTAAAAAAACTGATATATCATATATGATAAGTAACACTTTATCACCCTGTATCTTGGAAACATAAGTAATTAGGAAAAATATTTATTTGGGTTTTCGTCTTATTTTAAGTTGCTCATTCTTTTTCTAAATTTATGCCAATAAGTTTAGGGACACCTTTTAGAATAGTATATTAAAGAACTCAAAAGACGTCATTTTGTCACACGCGGACAATTTATTTTGTAATGGACGAGTGCGACAAAAGGTCTTTTGACATGAGTTCTTTTTGCTATTTTATCTATTTTGCAAAAATTCTATAGAAAAAAATTAACTTTATACCTTAAATTTAATTTGGTGGAATTTTACTTTAGATAGCTGGTATCACAGTCATTGGTTTGACAGTTAATGTTAAAGAAGAAAAAAAGCGTTTTTTTCTATCCTAGGATTTTCTTTCGTGTTAAACAAAATTTATTGCCAGAAAAGTCTCATAAGTACTAGAAAAATTATAAAAATATTATAACCAATATGCAAAATATTATCCTGTTTAAAGTATAGCCAACCTATAAAATCAAAATTTTGGGTGGGATAAAGTATCTCATTACAGCACCGAAAGCGGTGTTATAATGATGTCATTATGAACGCAAAATAGATAAAATATTTTTATTGGACTAGTGTGAAAATGGAAAATTGCAATGAGGAGGATCTTACTCTTAAAAGTAAAAGCTCATACGTAGATAGGCTTTTTTAGGAGTATTTTAATTTTAGGTAGTACACTTGGAAACCAATGAAATTCTTGGCCCAAATCAAAAAGGAGAAGTCCTTGTAAAGGGACCAATGGTAATGAATGGGTACTACAAAATGGACTCCAAGGAATGTTTCGACCCTGACGGATATTACAAAACAGGAGACATCGGTTATTATGATCCCGAAAAACTTTTATACATCGTTGATCGAATAAAGGGAGTGTTTAAAGTTGGATGGTACAGAATACATGCCAATGAAATCGAGGATGTTGCTTTAAAACACCCAGCCGTCATACAGGTCGCAGTTTTTGGTTATAAGAATTCATACGGAATAGTATACCCCAGTGCGCTCATAGTAAAAATGGAAAATTCCGAAGTAACAGTCGAAGAAATCCGGGATTTTGTTAATTCTCAAGTTGAGGATTATAAAAAGATAATAGGACCTATAAAATTTGTTCAGGCGATTCCTGTTACGTCAACTGGAAAGGTTAAATGTGGAGATCTTAGATCTCTTTTAGAAAAAGTCTAAATCTTATAGTGATAGGTTTAAAATTAAATAAAACACTTGGTGATTTAATCACATTTATGTTAAAGTATTTTGAGCATTTAACCACAGAAACTGAGGCAATAACGCGGCAAATGATGAATTCCAAGAGGTCCAACGTCTGTGGTTTACTGGTGTAGAGTAGCTACTTCATATATCCCCACAGAAAAACTTCCATAGGTGTGATATCACACAATCGTAGAGGCAAACTCTTACAGTGAGTGAAATTATGAGCTCATTGAATGCTTTCTGCAATACATTGTTTGTGTCGCGATACATTGATTAACACAAATGGCATAATTATCTTTCTAACAGCATAATAGTAGTAGTAGTAATGTTTTATTTAATTTTAAAATTTAAATCTCTATAAACACCTTGTTCTTAGAAAAGGTATTTATTATAATTTTAACATACTATAGGTATTGTTTATTTAAAGGCCTTAACCCTTAACTACTCGCGCCAATTTTTGTAACATAAGTGGTCGCGCGGTGCACTAAGTGCTCCGCTCCTTAAAATGGCTATATTGCTGAATGTTTTCAATTTTAATATTACTTTTGCTTATATTCGGATGAATTAACTCTATTTTTATTAAAACACAATATTTATTTTAAAAAGAAACAAAAAGCAAATAACAAAAAATAAAACAAACAAAAAAGTTATTACTTCTACTCAGAAAAGAAGAAATCAGAATGAAATTTACCCGTTCTATTTTTATTTGTGTATTCTTAGAAAAATTTATACCTTAAAAACCATTAGGTTTTAAATTCCATATTTTGTTGATTTAGAAATATTTTACATTGCAAAAATTGAAATTTAGTTACGTTTTAGTGAAGTATTTCTAAATCAATCTTAAGTTTTCTGTCCATAACTTTGAAATTAGTAGTTTAAACTGAATATGCCGTCGACAGTGCATGGTAGACACATCAGTCATAGGTTACATGGAAAGGGCATTTAATTCCAAGAAAACGACAAAAAGTTATAGAGGTTTTAATAAACACGGAGCACTCAGTGCACCTACGCGCCTACTGGCAAAACCAAAAATTGTAGGGTATTGTTAGGGTATTTCCGCGAAATCTTACCCTACCTTGACAAAAAATCAGATGTGTTATTTAATAAAATAAAAACTATATATAAAGTCAAATAGTTTAATTGCGACGTAATTTATAACCTTCAAATTTTTGTACATTCTGGTGCCAGAAAGCTAACATTAAGAATAAACATGGAAAAGTTTCAATACTCGATAAAATGTTGAAATGTCGCACCAGTTTCATTTTGAGAAAATTTTAGAAAATAAAGTATACAATATTTGTGCATTTAAAAAACAAGTTATAACTGTTATACACAACAAATTATTACTATATATATGTATGTACTGTGTCCACGGATAGAGAGCCCAAGAGGACAAATGGACTAAAATTTTCATTTTTCGATTAAAAGTCATTCCTTATAAAAAGTTCTGCTTGTTTTGAAAAGTCTATTGCCATATTTTAAATTTGAAAATATTATACAGGGGGGGTCAAAAAACAAGAAAACATGAAATACCTACTATAGAGAGTAAACTACCTTTATTTTTCGTTTTGGAGTAAAATGACAAATAAAAAAAAAGATTTCAAATCATATTCAAAGACTAATTGTAAAATTTCAACTCAGTATTCCTAATTTTATTTTTCTTAAAATTTAATTTCTTATTTATACTTTTGTACACCATTTTACGTTTCCTTTACCTGGTTATTTTGTGAAAATTTCTTAGAAGAAAAAAAGGAAAATTTACATTAATTACAAAAATGAACAATGCTACAATGCAAATTGTTAAATTGACGTTACTTGATAATTATAATTGTTGATTGTGTCATTTTTGTAAATTTACTCTAAATATCCTGGATTTTTCGAGGGGTAAACCACTGATTTAAAAAAATTATAAATCGCATACGTTTGTGGATAGGGGACAAAATTTTAAATGAAAATAATCAGTTTCACAAACTTATTTTATTTTTCGACGAATCAACTTTTTCCACAAATGGTACGGTAGCTTCCCAACACGTACGATACTGGAGCACTGAAAATACAGCGCTTCAAAGTCGGTAAAAATTGCCCCTTTTTGATTATTTTGCTGATAAAATTTCCATAAAAGTTATTTTTCGAAGGTTATTATTAAATAAAAGGGCTTTAAAAATATAAGTTGAAGTATTTTTATCCAAAATTTCATAAAGAATAATAAAGGCGTTTCACATGCGACTGATACAATGAAAATACCCTTTGTTATCACCATCTTTTGTTTTTATATTGACCGTCATGTCATAGCTTATGTAGTAATTTGAAACATCTTTTGATTCCTTGATTTTTTTCTAACCATGTAAAATTACAATATTTCAGTTATAGGAAAAACAAAAGGTGATAACTCAATATCAAATAGCGAAAAATATGTTTACGAAATGTTTACTTGTCAAACATTTTTTTTTAAATTCCTAAGAATAACAAAGTTATACCGATTTTTGTATTTTAAAGGTTTTCAGTTTTTTCAAATTATTTATTTTAAATGCCATATAAATACACTTAAAATTAGGCAATTCTCTAATTTAATGGGTTTAGCTCTTTAAATTAAAAAGATACCCATTAATAAATATTTTTTTTCTAATATCTAAAAAACCTCAAAAAACAATAACAATGCAATAATAAAAAAGATGTGTGTATTTTTTACTTGCTTAATATGTTTGAAGAAATATTTGTTTTTCACGAAAACGAAGAGGGAGGCAAAAAACAGTAAGAAGACAAAAATAATTGTTTTACGAATATTTGGGACAAATATCAAAACCCATTATTATTTCTTCTTAAAAATAACATCTAAGATGACCACAGGACGCAACTGCAATAAAGAAATTAAATATAAATTCATCAAAAACTGATCATTATTTATAAAAACAGATCGGAGTTTTTTAGGTAGGCAGGAATTAAGAAAAATCTACTATTTTTCTTTATTTTTAATAAACATATAAAATTATTAATACATAAGATATAAACAATGAACAGTTGTTTTCTATTGTTAAAGTTTCTTTAATAAAGGCTACATTCATTTTATTAAACAATGTTGTATTTATGCAAACATATTACTTATACCTACTGTTTAAAAATACGCTGCTCCAAATAATTTATTTAATTAAATAAACTGGGGATTTGTAAATTTATATAATATATAAATTAATATTGTTAATGTAATTTTGAACACAAATAAATAAAACAATTTGTTATATAAATTTACGGCATTGTTTTGGTTAATTAAATTTATTTAATATGTAAGTTACGTAAATCCAAATTTAAATTGTATTATTTAATTAAATTAAGTTTAAACTTTACTACCTTGCCACAAAATTGCATACACTTAAAAATCAGGTAACCTAATTTTCACAAATACGAGCCCTAACCACTAATGTTCGGACACTTCATAATTTATACAGAAATTTTTTTCGTGAATACTATCTCAAAATTATTAGAAGTTATGAAAAATTCAGCTTATTTTGGCATATACCCCTCGAAGCGATTTTTATTTTTAAAAAGTTTACCTTTTATTTTTAGCTTTTAAAAAAAGGCTAACTTTTTAACTTTTTTTTGCATGAGTAAAAAAAGTTATAAATGGGCCCATTAAAAAGAGCATAAAATATTATACAAACCCTGAAAATTTGGTAAAAATTGTATAAATAATAAGAAAGTTATAGCGATATATATATCTGCAAAATCTCCCGTTTCCTAAGAAAATTGCAAAAACTCTTTAAAAATAGCATTTTTAAATTACTTATACTTTTTTATAACTTATTTATTTTTTACCAAATTTTCAGGGTTTGTATAATATTTTATGCTCTTTTTAATGGGCCCATTTATAACTTTTTTTACTCATGCAAAAAAAAGTTAAAAAGTTAGCCTTTTTTTAAAAGCTAAAAATAAAAGGTAAACTTTTTAAAAATAAAAATCGCTTCGAGGGGTATATGCCAAAATAAGCTGAATTTTTCATAACTTCTAATAATTTTGAGATAGTATTCACGAAAAAAATTTCTGTATAAATTATGAAGTGTCCGAACATTATGTGGTTAGGGCTCGTACTGTGCTGTGTAAATGTGTTTTTTTAAGTCTTGACTTTTTATTTAAAATAGGTTATAAACCTTAAGTTATAATTTAACAGTGATACTCAAGTGTACTTCATACACATTTTTACTATAAAGGTGCAATTTCATGCTGACCCTCTACACTCGTTTTCCAGCCTCAGATCAGTCAAGTGGCCATCTTACGTGACTTCAGCGTCAAAAGTAAAGTAACAAAAAATTTAAAACAAATTTTGCTTTTTTGCTTTGACGCTGCTTCATATATTAGTCCAACACATGACAGTTATGACTGTCATTATTAATGTCATTTTAGACAAGTAAACTATCAAATAACACACTAGTGTGTTATAATCCATAACTCACTAGTGAGTTAGTTAGTTCATTAGTGGTTTATTTGAATTTGAAGTCATTGTAAAATTCGTTGGTTCATTGGAACCAGACGCTCCCATATCGGTACAGCTGCTGATAGTGCTGGAAGACGCCGACGCATTAGAACCTTGTATTTTTTCTGCAATTTGTATTTTGTTATGTACCTTCTGCTACAGTCGAGGACTTCCATCCTCCGTGACGCTTCAAAGTAGTCATGTTAGCCCCTGCATTGGCCAAAAGAGTCGCCGAAGACCTTCTCAGGCAGTGACCGGTGTAGAGCGCTGGTTCCTCCAATTTCAAAAACATTGCAATTCTTGAAGGTATTTTCGACAACGTATTTATTCCCACACACTGGCTGGTACACCTCCCATTTTTGTAAAAAACAAAAAATCGGCTAGAACTAGTATTCTTTGGTCTCAAAGACATGTATTTTTTACACAAATTGATCGGGTTGACTGGAAATCCTTCTTAAAGTATGGTGAAACTTCTTTATTCCCACAATGGCTGGTACACCTCCCATTTTTTTAAAAACAAAAAATCGGCTAGAACTAGTATTCTTTGGTCTCAAAGAATAGTATATTCTGTAACAAGTTTGGAATACAGCATATTCCGCTCGAGTGAAGAGTTTGTCACATGAGCCGAAGGCGAGTTTGACGGTTTCACGGGAGCGGAATATGCAATTCCAAACGTGTTTCAGACTATACTTTTTCTACGTTTCCAAAAAATACCATAGATATTAAAAACAAAGATGTCGCCACGAGTATTTATTCTGTCATCAGATGATAGAATATTTCATTCTGTAACACTTTACGGAATATATGTCATGTCCATAGATAAAAGTAATATTATAAGGGTCAAATTGCGTAATAGGAGTAGAAAAATGTATTTTTTACACAAATTGATCGGGTTGACTGGAAATCCTTCTTCAAGTATGGTGAAACTTCTCAATTTCTTGGTTTTAGTGTCTGGCAAAACTACGTGAAAATATTTCCCTTTGTCTTGAATATTTTCTATTTTCAATCATCGCATCTACAAGCACCGCTAATCCCCATTATCAAAGCCACTTTGATCAACAGGTACTCGTCGTCGGGAGCTTCGTTCAAAAACT